AGAGAACAATGAATATCTGGAGTAATGCTCAGGTTCCACATAACAGTATTATAGGTTATATGGTAGTGCCTGATTCAACCTGACTATAACCAGCAGTGATGCTACTGTACATATATAAATATAGAACATTAAATTGCTATTTTTTATTTAAAATCATTTTGATGACATTTCTTCCCCACTATGTGTAAGACGAGAGAGATCAGATGATCGCATAATTTAGTGGAACATTAATATAGTAATATAGAATCATCCTCTGTAAAGAAATGAGGTGTGAACATTTGAGAATTTATCATTATCTTTCTATGCGCGCTCTTTGGGGCTAATTGCTTAATGGAGCTGTTTAAAGTAGCATGTGATAACAAACCAATCGGTGCAGACGCGATTCAATACATGCATCCTTCTTCTGTGTGAAATAATCATAAATACCAGTTTATGCTGCTTGACTGTGGCCTCGAAGGTCGTAGTTGTAAGCTGTAGCCCCGGCTGGCCCGTTTAGATCTTGCGTGCGCAGTGGAAATGCGGCTAATAATTTCTGAATTCTGACTGGCATATAACGAACAAATCAAACAAATGTAAACGGGCAAAGGCGGGCCCCCCAACAAGGCGATGCCCATGGGCTGCAGCCCACTCTAGCCCAATGGTAAGTCCGGCCATGCACACTACACATCCATAATAAATACATCCACACTAACATCTAACTGAGCTCTGTTATGTCAAGTCTTACTTCACATCACAGTCAGTCAAAAACAATGTAGCAGAATGTTGCATTTAATTTGCATTAAAATGAAAGAATTTTTAGTAGCATGCATGTGCTATATTTTAAGGCTTGGATGCACTAAATGATAATGCCTTTCCTAAGATAACTTTGATTCATAGTTTATAACACAAAGTGACACATATCCAAATTTGTAGAGAGCATCAGTGCAAAATAGAAGATTTGCTTGGCTTCTATTAGTCAGGTCACAGTACATCAGAAATTCAAGGTGTGTGTGTGGGCCAGTGTGGTCTCATTTCACCATTACAGGAGGACAGATTGCGTAACATGAGTCATAACTTTTCTTATTTCACTTTTCTTTTATCCTTTCAATCCTCTTATCTTTTCTGTGCTTTATTATAACATCAAGCTGTTCTTCAAAAGATCCCTAGAGGCCATGGAGAGGAAATGCCATTCACAAAAACATTCAGCAAAGATGCAATGCTTCTCTAAACAGGACATTCTCCACCCATCGGCGCAGCTCTCTACTGTTCTGCTCCATTATGCTGAAGAAACCACCACTGACTGATATCCACAATAAATAATAGCCTACCCCTGAGTATGGTGGTGCTAGTGTTTTCTCCCCAACAAACAGTAAATACCATGATTCCCTTTTAGCTTGCAGAGGCTTGTGACATGAGACGGTGACACATTGTCTGAAGATGCTGTTCCTGAACTTTAAAAAAGATGATTGAATTTTCTTTGAGGTTTAATATTATGCGCATAACAGTCTATAAAAACACTTGTAAAAAGAAAACCCCCTTTGTATTTTAGGTCAGAAACTTCAAATACATGCAAGTATGGTCCAAATAGCTGTAAACTCTCAAGAGGATACAAGGTTTTAAAGTCTTTCTGGCAACTTTTCACTTGTGTGTGACATCTTAGACCACGCTCTTCAAATTCCAAATCACAGAGAATATTTAAGCGCTAATTCTCTAATGAAGGCAAGACTTTTGAACACTCACATTCCACAGAATGGCCTTTCCACAAATCCCCCAGATAATACAGTAGTATTATTTCCAATTAAAATCATTGTTAAGGCTATTGGTGTCCTTCCGGAGACCTCACATCACTTAGTGGGAATACCTTTCAATGGGCTTGACCATTAAATGTACCAGGAAGAGGGGAGGAAAAGGAAGTTCTCAGAATGTCAAACCTCCTTTGTTCTTTCATGTTCATCAATCATATGATAAAAACCTTTCATCTTGAAATGTTTTGAGTCATGTGACTGCTCACTGAGGAAACTGGTGACAAGCTTTGAAGTATAGAGTTAAGATGTAACGGAAATAGTGACAGGTCTTCGGTATTGTGACTTACATCCGAGTTTCGAGTAAAAATTATTATCCAAAAAAACAACAACAACAACTTCTTACCCATTAGTTGGATTCAGACAGATCTGAATGCGAGTTTGCAGTCAGTTGTACTAAATGACTCGAAACCTGGCATACATCACCAAAGAGCAGTTGAGAATGAGTTAAAATAACTGAAATAAAAATTACAAGGTCAAAATAAATAAAAACATGAAACGTATGCATGGATGAATCCTTCATAATAGGATCAAAAAAATAAAAATAAGGTGAATGTTGATTCCATGTTGACTTCCAACCGCAGTTTTCAAGCTGTGGGTTACTAAGAGAGGAAAAATTTGTCTTGCAAAGTATGAGAGTGCTGGTGAGTTCATGCAAAGTCAAGCCATGATGCAGCTCACTGCAGTGTTTCCTGCAATGCGTTACGTGGCTACAATATAAAACAAACTACTGTATAGTTCGATTAAAAAATGCAAGATACATAACAAAAAAATATTCCACCCACATTTATACGTGAGCTTGAACTCTCCAGCCAGCATTAGCATTAAAATGAAACATGACCTGCCACTGTGAATTTTCATGATCATAAACGTTAAAATTAATTCCTTGAAGTGACCGTCGCATAGACCTTTTGTGAAGGGGTTGACTGTTGCTTAGAACTTTGTGGCGTCCCCTTCTTGCAGTACCCTTCAAGTGTGCAAAATTGCCATTAGACATTTGGCCGCCATCTCAGTTATCAGTCTGATGAATACTTCACTGAACAAAATCACTGAATCCATCAGAGCAGCTGCTGAATCAACAAATACTGAACTGCAAGTTCTGTTTCAGTGCATCATTACATTACATTACACTGCAAAGCTGTGACACCAGGAAATAAAAGATAAGGCTTATTCTCTCTCTGTCTGTATAACTCACACTCGTGTATTTAATATTTATTCTCTTTTTTGTTGGCTTACCATAAGCCTTATGATAATGAAATGAAATTGATTAGCAAGCATACCCAATCTAATAAAATAAGGAAAACAAAAAATAAGAGAACAAACTGGATTTTCCCCCTCATATTTCATTAAAACATTCTAAAGTTTGTGTAAATGTAATAGATAAATTACACCTGCCAAATGGGTCCTAAAAAGGTTTGTGGAACCCTTGCTTTAAGACATATAGCACATCATCTTTCATCAATGGACCAGTGAGACTAAACCTCCTAACGTAACCCAGGTAGAGTTCGGCTGTTTAATGCAAGAAATTGTGAGCTTGTGTGGTGTTGTGTTTTCGTGCTTCTTTTATTGGTCCAAACTATAAATCAGGACACATGGAGACAATCTAATCCTCATCTGCCTGCCTCCAATCCTTCCAACACCCCAATGCAGAGTTTTCCAATGTTCCAGCACATATTTTGCATTTTTTTCCCCCACACAGCCTGTTGGCAAAAAGAGTTTTCCAGCATTACCATACCATGGTTTTAAGTATGTTTGACCATATGCATTAATTAAGTATGACACATCTATAAAACATTATTTGGAGATGAGAAGCCCCTCACTGATCAAGTACTGACATTAGAGATGGATCTGTTTACCTTGACTAACACTGCAGGAATGTGCAGCACCAGAGAATGACTCTAATCATTATCCAGAAGCTCTTAAATATGTGAAAGCTGGTGGCCCTGTTTTGGCTCCTCTGAGAATAGACTCTCGCATGTTTTACCTTTGCTAATGATGCTAAAAGCTCTTTACAATGCAATGCCACAATGTGAATTTAAAAAGTACATCATCAGAAATCCTGTGGGACACGGTGCATAAATTAGCGCAGATGTCTACAGAAACGCTGGTTTTGCACCTGTCCTATTTCTACTAACGAACACTGATGGCTATCTGCAAACAGCTGACAGCAGGATGAAATATAACGGGGACCCCTTCCCCCACACTCACAGCATATGGTCTTCATTATATTGCACACTGTCCAAGATGTTGGCCAATCCATCAAATCTTTGTACTTTTCCACTGCACGCTGTTTTGAAGCATGAAAGCAACTTCCTAATCTATTTCTACTGAGGCTTTTACAACCAAGAGCAACAAAATGATTGGATCAGCTGACGTGAATCCTGAGATTTCAGTACGTGTGTACTCTATATTGGCTCATTAGCTCATGTGACGTCCAATGAGTTTAATTAAATTTACGCTGTTCGGGTTGGCTTGACGCAACGGGCGAAGAACCTATTAAATCAACCTTTAGAAACAAAGCCTTCATTCTGAATTGATCGTCCTTCTGAAACTTCATTACATGTCATTTAGCAGAAACAGTTCGTGTGAATTGCAGGGACAGATCTTGTGGAGCAATTTGGGGTCAAATGTCCACGGGGCATCCACATCCAGAGCTGAACCTGCGATCTCTGCAACGCCAACCACGATTATCAATAGCAGCCAAACTGAAGTGCACACGGGCTACTTTGTTACAAACATTTATATACATACTGAAACTTTTTTGTAAGATTTTAAGATCCTTTAGTTGTTGTAAGTACAACAAGCAGTAGATATTAGTTTTATAGCAGTTTTCAAAAATTGTTCCTGGATCATGGATCAAAGTGCAGAAGTATACAGCCTACTTTATAGCATGTTTACCAATGCTGCTGACCCCAAAACGGGTGATATTAATGCTTTCAATGATTAATATTTACCACCCTATCTTAAGAAAAATGAAGAGAGAGAAATAAATATTTCAGTGGTGCAATGCTTATGTAGGTTGCTTACAATAGGGCACATGGTTGAGAACACGTGTTACTGAATATGAGTCTTAGCAGGAAAATATAAGACAGCATCAGAGTAACTTTAGTTTACAATACTTTTTAAATGTAAAAATGACATGTAGGGAATCGTACAGGTTGAGTCAGCGTTAAAACCTGTACACATTTGCATACGACTGTAGGTAATTCCCCTACTCACCACATAGTAGAACTGCATGTCCTGGCGAACAGGGTCCTCAGGCTGCATGACTGTAGATGAGGTTTTATCCGATCCCACGTAGAACAAAACCATAACACTTCCTGGGTAGACACTCAGATCAGGTGAAAACAGCAAAGCAGATCCCACTTGTTTTCATCAGTCAAACTCTGGATGGAGGGAGTCAGTCCATCTGTGGAGCAGCTCCTGTTTCTGGGCCGTTGGTAAGAGGTTCAGTGTCAGTGCTTCCTCTGCGTCTGTGTATCTGAGAAGTGATAGCAGTTCTTCCTGTGAAAGGGTGCTCTCTGCGTGTGTCTGTGTGCACTCCAGCTGATAAAATGCGAGTCCCTACACGCAGCTCAGTGCAGCCTCTTCTGTGCTCCTCGCCTGTCAACAACAGGAAATGTGCCACTGGCAGCTCAGAGTTTGACAAACTCACAGCCTTCACTCTGATGCAAGCACTGGAAGCACTGGGAATGCATTAGTATGGGCTGTGCCGGTGGCTGGGATCAGGTCTCACTTATCCTCCCATTCCCACCTCCTTAACTGCGCATGCCATAAAACAAAGGTCTGAAGGTTCAAGTCGGTGCGAGTATGACTAGCTTTTATCTTGGTAGTAATTGCAGTATGATAACTGAACTTTGCTCCATGACGTTTTAGATCTGACTAAAATACTAGAACAAGCACTATGCTGACATTTTTGAATTGTTGATGGGGAGATTTTATCATCTGTGTATAATTCACATTCATATTTTCGTCATCAAATAGGCTTTTTCCCCCCAAATCTAATCCTTTATATTATTCAGTTATTACAACTTTGTTTTAATAATCTCAAACACATCTGAAAATCCCATATGATACAATTTCAGAGATTCTGGTTAATGCTAGTGTTCAAAAGTTTGGGGTCAGTCATTTTTTTTTTTTATGTGGATTTTGAAAGGATGCATTAAATTGTAAAACGATGAGCTTTGTAAAAATCGACGCGTTTCAGAAGGCGGGGCATAGAGGAGAAACAATAATGTACAGTATGTGGAAAATAATGTGTTTTTTTTACTTTAAACCGCATAAACACATTTCATTACACCAAATACACAAAATAATGTTCTTTTTAGCAGCATCATATGACCCCTTTAAGGACTTTTACATTCATTTATGAGATTTCTATTTCAAAGAATCTAGGAATCATGAAAAATGTATCTGTTTCCACAAAAATATTAAGTAGCACTTTCAACCATTTTCAACATTGATAATAATAACAAGAAATATTTCTTGAGCACCAAATCAGCATATTAGAATGATTTCTGGAGGATCATGTGACACTGCAGTAACATCAGCAGATCAAAGAATCAGCTTTGATCACAGGAATAAAGTATATTTCAAAATATATTAAAATGCAGTTAATTTAGTTATTTTATATTTTACAAATCTTTCACAATATTAGCCTACTGCTTTTATTTTTCATCAAAAAAAAATGCAGCCTTAGATCACATCTTAGTAAACCCCAACTTTTGAACGGTAGTATTAGACTACTCAACATTAAAAATAAATAAATAAATAGTTCAAAGTACCTCAGTGACCTTTTGCTATTGCACACGATGGCCTTGTGGGTCAGAAACATGTTCCAGTACGCAACGAAAAACAGGTGTTTATGAAAGTGTTGCGGTGGTTGTGGTTGCTATTTAGGTGAACGCTGCACACGTTTGATAAACAGCAGAATTGAAGGGTAAAAATAAACCCACAAGGGGGCAATATTGTTTAAGATTCTCATAATGGAAGCGATTACGTAAATTTGTTGTGGAATTACTAATGTTTTGTGTGGTCTCAGTTTGGTAAGTGAATCTGATCTAAGATCTCAATCCTGTCGAGAAGTCCTCATAAACAAAAAGTTCTCTATAAATGATCAAATTTGGATTTTGAATATGCAAAAAAGGGAATGTGTATTGTGTAAACTAAAGTAGAAAAAAAAACCACCACCACAACTGCAAAGGACTGTTATGCAAGAAAAATAATTTATTTTAATGATATACCTTTTACCACACAGGCAAGACATACTTCAGCTGATTAGAGATCTCACAGCAACCGTCATTTCTGCTGGAGGGTGAGGTCTATAATATGCAAATTTTAAAATAACAAAAATATAATTCTCATTATTATCTTGCCTTCCCACCCTGTCTTTCTTTTATTCCCAATGAACAAGGGCAATCTGAACATTTTAAAGCTTTTTCCATTCTGGCAATCTGTAAAAGGACCTTTGTGCCGGACTACTAAACTCAGTCTTATCATGCATGTAAAATGCGACAAAAACTGTAGTCTTGTGTGTAATGCAGGGAGTTGTCAGCTTGTGATGTCAAGAATTGATTAAAAGTCATTGGTTATGCTTGACAGCAACCAGATGGTTGTTAACAAACTTGTTCTGGACTCCCTTTTTTCTCCCTTAGCTGGCACATTTGACTCTCTTCTGTGTACCGAAATGGGATTCAGAATGAATCCCTATCGGCTATGTGAGGAAAGAAAAAAATGGCTTGAGTGAAGTCAGTGAAACTCTTGAGAGGAACTGGTTTTTCGGGTCAGTTTGTCAAACACTTCTAATGTGATTATAATATATATATGTCTCTCCAATGGATACTTGTCTCCCCTCTCTGGGATTTACATTATTGATGCACAAGGCTTCTAACAGTCCACTAAGGTACATTTCTTGAGTTCCACTTGTTTTGCCCATATAATACCATCTCTTTCCACTGTCCTCCCTCTCTCTTTTACTTGTACCTGTGAGAGTACTGTTGACATTGATAGGGTTAAGCACAGAGTACACAAGAGTAGTGATAAATATTATAGTAGTAAATCCTAAAAAGAGTAAAAGAAACTCTGCATACTTCTACGGAAGTGCAATACCAAGGCATTTAAAAACACAGAGGCTTCACGCCAGAGTACAAGGCAAATAAACACTGGTTGTCAGACTTTTTTTTTCATTCACTAAATATTTAAAACAAGTGTCACACACTATTTTAATGTGGTGGTATTCTGTCTCTTTTTTCACGTTATGCTTTTCATATTGTCGGAATACCTGAAGGACTAGTCTGAGAAGATGAACATCAAGACAAGATCCATCTCGATCTTGTTCCAGACTTAAGAACAGATTTTTGCCAAGCACTTCCTCTCCTGGACTGCTGAGGGCGCTCCGGATCAGTAGCACCAGGTTTCTGTCCATTGTCTGATTGAGAGCCAGAAAAACAGTCACATGAGGAAGGGGAGCTTCATACGGAATGGTAAGAAGAAGCAGTCTCTGAAGTCTCAGTCTCTGCGGCTGCCTGCGGTAGACCCTCCGTCTGCAGTAGCCTCCAAAATTCCCTTAATGAAGGATGATGATCAGTTTACCACAGGTGACCTGCTCAAGTCCTTGAGTGAATTACCACATTTGATCAAAGTCTACAAAGTCTTTGTGCATTCAAATGTTGATCTACATTTCGGTCTTGCAGTTTCGTGGAGGGCAACCATTAAAAAATGTCTTTTCTATTAAGTTCTTCTTGGTCAAAAATTGAATCTAAACACAAAACTGTTGAGCTCTGCCTCACCCTTTCCTAACATTCACAGGCATTCATTGCCAGTGCCGACAGAAGGGCAAGTCGGATTCATCTTTGATGCATAGTCTGAAATGGACATAAAGTGAGAAGCTTTGCACTTAGATTTGAATGTTCCTATGTCTTGAGAGATGATCTGGAATTGTGGTCATAAGTGTCTGGTTTTTCTGGAAAAAATGTGGAGAGATATATGAATTCGGTCATCTTTTTACCATCCATAGGCTTCAGTAAATCTCCTGCCTGATAGTTTGAGATTATACACTTGGACCGGTAGCCATGATGGGTTTCCTGAGTTGTAAAGAAACCACGGACAGATTTGACGCAATGGACAGCCAGAACCAAACCAATGACCCTCTGGTAACACTCACTGGACCATCTTCTGTAGTCTAATGTCCCCCCCTATGGACCATCACTTTCTGTGCTATTCCCTCATGTACCGTCCACAAATTTTATTTTCAAAGGTATGTTTTGTCTATGACAATTTTGATTTGTTGTACGTTGTGCCAAAGCATAACTATATGCTGTCTGTTTACACTTTTGGCAGTGTGGGAAGATCTCTAGATGTGGGTTCAGATGTATTGCATTATGATGGTTCAATATGATCACTTCAATCCCTTGTGTGCTGTGAGCTTATAAAATAATAGGCAGTTTCCCAAGAATAGTCACAGATATAGACCGCTTTGTGTCTGTTGTGTCTTTGATCAAGCAGTTACATTTTCCTATATATATATATATATTGTATACATAGTTTTTTATACAGATTAAATAAACTCAAGAAGACATTTAAATGGCCTTTCATACTTTTGGAAAAAATAAAACGAAAAAGAAAATGGAAAATAACAAATATAGCTTTTTGTCTTGTAAACTAGTTCCTGTACTGGTGAAAGTGCTTCATTTTAAGGGGTACCAGACCTTGCTTACAACCTTTGTGGAATGTTTCCGACTTGTGTCATACACTCCTCTCTCTGTGTGAGTTTGTGCAGTCTATTAAAACACAATTATCCTACTAAGACACTTTCTAGTCCACCACTGAAGTGGCAGAGCAGGCTTTGGCCACAAATATAGGCTGGGCTCCTAAAATAGTGAACAGTCTGAAAATATTTCTTGATGTCAGTTTCCATTCAAGAGTTTCATCATCGCATCCATATTTCCAGAATAGCAGATTTCTATGCCATAATTTGGTATCAGTGGTGGGCTCAGTTTCCTTTAATACCAACTATACTCCACAAAAATCTTACATCATCAGAGTGATATCCCCTTGTCTGAAAGCAACAACTCAAACCCACTTAATTTCCTTCAGCATGAGGTCTTTGTAAATTAAACCATTTAGATGGGCAGTGGAGTGTCACGGAAAACCAGCCATATTGATATCCAGCATGTGGTTCTCTACAAGTGGAATCACTGGTCCTGTGGAGCTGGTTTTGGTGTGTTCGTTGCACTCCCATCTGGCTGTGACTGAGAGAACTCAGTGACTCGTCGTGCCAAGGGGTTTGTGCTCTTCAGCAACTCCATGGCAGAAACTCGGGTCCCGCTGCTGGCTTTGCTGCTTCTCTTCTGGAGAAGAGCCATAAAGTTCTCATTTCGTGAGCTTGACCTAGGAGTGGTCCCGAGGCCCAGAGTTCGGAGGTCTGTGCTACTGCTTTTCACAGGTGAGACCAGACACTGCCTGCTTCCAAAAGAATCTGTTGGTTCCTTGCGACCAAGAACTTTCCTCTTTGACCTAGGAAAGGCAAAACAATGCAAATGTTTTATAACCGTTTACAGCAGGGTTCCTCAAATCCGGACTTGGAGGGCCACTGCCCTGCAGAGTTTAGCTCCAACCCTAATTAAAGACACCTTAAGAGTTACTGATTTGAAATAAACCACAGAACAGTGACCCTCCAGGTTTGGATGTAAGAGTTTATGATGGCTGGCTAA